GTCTGCCTAAGGAGACTGCTGTGAAGAAGGTGGAAAGGACTACCAGGCCTCGTCTGTCTGCTTCTGAGAAAAGGTGAGAGGAGAGAGACGAAATAAAGACTGTTCAGCTTTCCAAGATTGCCTTAGAAAAGGGGAGACCAGAGAAAAAGGACCTGTCACAAAGACTGTGGGGCGGGGGGAGGGAGTATAGCTTCTGTCTACTGGATTTTGGTACACAGGAAGCATACCCCTTAAAGAAAAATGACTCCACTGTGTCATTGCCTGTGTCCAGGGAAGAGAGGCAGAAAAAATGAACAGTAGGGACAACCAGGAGTGTAGCTCAGTGGTAGCATGTATGCTTAGCATTCACCAGCCCCTGAGGTCAATACACACACACACAGACACAAAAACACACATCAAATAAAAAGGGGCCATTAGATACTCAACTTATGTAACCAAGCCATAGGTGGAAAAAGTTCATCACTGCAAACTGAGGCATTTCCTAAGAAAAATAACATCAACTCAGAGAACAGCAAGAGCCTACAGAGCAGAGTGAAGAGGCATGAGGTCTTTCCCAGGGAGTAGGACTAGACTATAATAAAAAACTGGCACAAGTGCTTGATGGGAATAAACACTCAGATCAGTGTGGGCAGGGTGCCTCCCACATCCCCAGGCCCCCCATGTTCATGCCATTCTCCTCGCTGTGTGCTGAGTGTTTGTGGACAGGGAGATAACAGGCCACCTTCATGTAGGGGTCTAGGGCATACAGGGTTAATATACCTGCAGGAGAGATGAGATCCAAACCTCCCTGGTCCCCAAAAGGGCCCTTTCACAGTTAACACTGCAGTGCTAATGAGCCCCACATCCTGAAAAGTAGGGTGATAACCAATGCCAACCACTTCTGAAGGCATGTGCAGTTAGCCCACCTGCTACCTGTAGTAAGCCTTTAGGTGTTTTTCCCTACTAAGGATTCATGAATATTACTTGCATGTAATGAATACAATTTTAACAGAGTGAATCATTAGAAGGAACATGCACAATCAAAAATCAATTATATAACATCTGGTTGTCTTCAAATTGACATAAGGACACTTGCAGAAATACCCTGGTTTTTCCCACCAGCATGGCTCAATCTACATAAAACCAGAGAGACTCCAGGCAACTGTACTCTTGAGCTGCAAGGCTGAAGCCCTGGTTTCTCCCTTGATAGCGTTTCTTTCTTGTTCCACTTTCAATAAGCTTTGCTACACACTCCTTGTCTCTCAGATCAATTCTTTGATCTTGACCCCAGACAAGAAACTGATGCAACTGTTAGGCTCCAGTTAAAAACCAGAACCTGATGTAATTGACCTTCATACCAGTGTCAAAACAGGAAGGAAAAGATCTCTGGAGGAACTGAGAGAGGCCAAGTGTATTTTGAACTTTGGCAAAATGTAAGTCATTTGTGGCCAGATGGTAAACTTCATGCCACTACTGACCTTCCAGATGGGACCAGAGACATCTTGAAGCTGACCACACTGCCCTGAAGCAGACTAGAGACACAATGAAACACCATGACATATACAACACAAGCCATACTGCTGTGCCTAGTTCCCTGACCTCAAAACTGTGACAGGTAATGAGAAGTTCTATTTAAGCCAGTAAGATTTCTAGTTGGAACACTTTAAATCTCACTGTAGTCCATATAAAGTACCTTAGATTGAAACATGGAATTTGGAGGCTTAGAAGTAACTTATACTCAAAATAAGTGAATGGTAAAGCACATTTCATAATTATGTTCTGTCTCAAAATACAATTGTGAATTTAAAATGATCAGCTAATGAAGTTATCACTTTTTATTCTCGACCGCTATAAATTACAGCTGTAGCCCATAAACATAGCCATAGCTGATGCAAACATCCATTTTTTGTTATTCATTCTTAAATAGTTACCTAAAATAGCAAAGAAACTAAATGCAGTTTTTAAAGGAGTTTGTAAACATGCAGATCCTTTAGAATTACAGAAAACTGTATATTAATTAAAAATACAATACAGTCACTGACAAATTTATATAAACAAGTTAGAAATAATGATAATTTTTGCTTCTGGTTTTATTTTTACACTGAGGGTTTCTCAAATGTATCCCGCTAACAACTGAATGCTATCTTCTAGGGGACTCCTGAGGATGTCACCACGTGTTCTGTTTAGAGGCACTGTTCTGGACAAACACACTCTTCAGGTTTTCCAGGAATGACATCTGCAGTTACCATGTTTCTTTATGAGCATGATCAGATCCTCTCCCTACATGCACTGCACGCAAACAGTAGGACAAAAGAAAATAATGAACAAGTTACACAAGTTGACACCAAATGACATTAGACCTGACAAACAGGGACCAGTCCAGGAAAAATCCCGCTTTTGAGGGTTGGATCACTGGCAGGATGGCTGTATGTAAGGAAGTGTGAACCACAGACAGCTAGAGCCATACAGAACCACAGAGTGAGGAGGATGGGGCCAATGATGGAGCACTTGGTTGAGTTATGCTAAGGGGCAGAAAAAGCAGAATAATTCAGGGCAACAGAGAAGACACTGTGAGAAAGGCTGTGACAGTGACTAACAAGAATGTCAAGCACATCACAAGAAGTAGCTTCAAATATGGTAAATGGTGATGGATGTAGACTACATTTAAGTTACTAATGTTCTTCTGAACAGCTGAACTAAGACAATGCTGAGTGGGCTAAAGGACAAATGAACAGTGAGAAGACCTGCCAGGAAATTTGACTAAGAACAGTGTGCACATGTAAATGAGGGCTGACATACAGTTACAGAGTCAATGAACATGTGGTGAACTTAATCCTCCAGATATTCTAGATTTTATTCATGAACCAAATATGGCCTTCCAAAAGCTACCTGGGACCACACTATTTTAGCAACTCCAGAAAAATTTATTAAGAGAGTATTGCATTAGCACCACACAACCATTTCAACTGAAGGACATTAGAAATTCTATTTCCAGGTTGGTTGTGAAAAAGTCACTACACCATCTATGAAACAAGATGTTTTAGCCTTTGGTGAAGTTTTTATGTCCCATGAGAAGTTAGCATGCTCTCTTGTCAAGTAGCAATCAAATTGTGTATCAAATGTGTCTTCCTCTTGTCATGGCATCAGAAAGACCAGAGATACGTCCAGGCATGATGGCACACACTTTTAACCCTAGGTACTCTGGAGTCAGAGATAGGAAGATTGTGGTTCAAAGCAAGCAGGAGCAAAAAAGTTAGCAAGATCTTATCTCAAAAACCAAGCTGGGTGTGATGCACGACACACATAATCTCAGCAACAGATGGAGGTAGGAGGATTATGGTGCCCCAGGCAAAAACACAAGACCCTTTTCCTGAAATATAACTAAAGGAAAAAGGGCTGGAGGCATGACTCAAGTGTTAAGAGTGTATGTCTAATAAGCAAAAGATATTCAAACCTCAATACTATCCTCGCTACCAAAAAAAGTCCAGAGACAAATCTCAACACAGATGTTTTTAGCATCTTAACACCTGCCTATGGCTGGATGAAGTGGTTCAAGTGGTAGAGTGTCTGCCTAGCAAGTAGTAGTGTACAGCCCTGAGTTCAAACTCCAGTACTTCAAAAAAAAAAAGGAAAACCCTGCCTATGTCTACATGCCAACTCTGTCTTATTTATGTGCATCACCTTGAGGCTTTTCTACTTATTTCTACAACTCCATTTGTATTTACAGACTTCACAAAGCTCATAAAATACTATGTAAAACAAAATGAAGAATAAGCAAGCAACTCACCAGAAATTGGTTCATTTTTTATTTCTCTTAGAAGCACATTGTGGAGGCATAGCTGAGAGAAAAGCAGACTCATGAGTCAACAGGCATTGTTTGGTTCTGATTCTCCTGCTCAAAACTCTACAAGTTAGCTACAAATACTGACAAGAAAAACCCAAACCAAACTAACAAACAAAACCAACTCTCTGTAGGAGATTAGTCCATTATACAAGAAAAGGCAACAAAGACCCCAATAAGATGTACCTGTTACTGTGAACAAAAGGAAGCCATGTTAGATGTGGATCCCCTCCTTCTTGAAGGTGATTTACTGCAAGCACAGAGCCTTGAGTTCAAACTCCAGTCCCATTAAAAAAAAGAGAGAGAGAGAGAAAATACCTTAAAGAAACATTATGTCTTCGGTAAAAATGCACCTGGGGCTCCCAGCACAACAATGAAAACTTTAAAAAAGTGTACTATTCCAAAAAAAAAAAGAATGAAAGAAATACACTGGGGGTTGGTTGAATATGGTGGCCCATGTCTTCAATCCCAGCTACACAAGAAGGTGAGGTGGGAGGAAGATCAGGTCTGGAGCCTTTCCCAGGCAAAAACTAGCACTATTTGAGGGCTGGGGCATGGCTCAAGTGCTAAAGCTGCTTCCTTCAAGGCCCTGAGTTCAAATCCCACTATGACTAAACAAAAGGTTATGGTAAAAAATAAAAAAAAAAAGACCCAATCTGAAAAATTCACCAAAAGCAAAAAGGGTTGGGGGTGTATCTCACGTCTGCAGTGCTTGCGAAGGCCCAGCGGCCAAACCCCAGTACTGCCAAAAAAAAAAATAAATAAATAAAATCACCTGGGCTACAGGAGGAACTAAGTACTGCCCTCGGGACTCCAGACGCGCATTCCCACTGTAATCCCTCCTCTTTTCATGGAGACATGCATGCTGCAACTCAGCATTTTTGCCGATGCTCATTCATAACAAATGTACTTGGAACATGAGGACACTGTCCCCATGATGGTTCCAAGGAGGCGCCTCCACTTACCCGTAAGACAACGATCCGCGCTGTGCCACTGACGCGGCCTGGCCACGAGGACGCCACTAGATGTGACAGGACCAAGTGAGCAAAGGCTCTGCTCCAAGGTGCGCCTTCCTGGCCGCAGTCACACTGCAGACGCGCGGCCGAGCAGTGACACACATGGCCGCTGCGACTTTCTCTTCCAGCCCGGCTCGGCTCCCCCGGCCACCTGGGTCACTGACCTGCGGGACGACCACCTGCGGTTCTGCCAACACCTCGTCAGGGTCGCAGGTCCTGTACCCTAGGATCCCCGCGGCCGCTTTCTCTATCACCCTCGCACAGAGAACTTCAGGGATTCTGTAAAGGAATTCAAAGTCCGCGCTTTGGCGTCTGCAAAGCAGCAGCCCCAGGAAACTCCTGGCGGAAACTGGCAGGGGCGGGGAAGCGCCTGCACAGAAGATAACCGGAAGAGCTGCCTTCCTGATAATGCTGGTGACTGGACAGGGTGAGACTACATTACCCACAAGCCTCTGCGCAGGTCTCACAAAGCAGGGAAACTTCATTTGCCAAGTGGTGTTACTCCAAACAGACCAGGAAGAAATGCTTTAGGAATGGTCCATACCTTAGTGATAGACATGTGTAATCCTGCTTCTTTATTAAATCCTGCTGTCAATAATTCAGCAGGGATAAATAGTTTAAAACTTATAGTTTAAGTGCATTGCGCCAGCCTGTTGGCTCAACCCTGTTATCCTACCGACTCCATAGAGTGAGATGAGGATTATGGTTGGAGGCCAGCGCTGGCAAAAAGTTCTAGAGACCCCACTGATGTACTCTCTTGTGCCCCCCAGCTCATCCCTATGTTGTCCCCGAGGTCCCCAGAGTTACTGGCATCGGATTTCACTCAGGGAAGTTCCTTGGTGCACAACTTGAAGTTTCAACCTCAAAGAGCTCCTGCTAGGAGAGACAATGGCATCTTGAAGAGAAGAAAAATGTGCCGCCCCATCCACGACGGCCTTGGATCCCAGAGATTAAATCGCTGTCTGCAACCAATCTTAAAACAAGGGAGAAAAAGGCAAGGTACTAGGGGAGATCCTGGCCTCTGGGAAAGGAAAATTTTAAGTTGCAATGGAAATTCATGAGGATATCTCAGGGTCTGTAATGGTTCAGCCAGAGCAGTGCCAATGTAATTGTGCTACGGGAAATGGCAAGGGAAACAAAGTCACTGAGACCACTTTGCAGGAAACAGGGATTTTATTATGCTAGTAGACTCAGGGTAGATAATTTCTCAAAGCCCTGAGCCCTGATCTGTGTCAGGGACTTGATTAAATACTCTCCAGAAGAGTTTTGTAACCAGGGTGGTTTTTTTTTTTTTTTTTGCAGTATATGGGTCAGTTACAGGAAAACAAGTCGGTTACAGAATTTGTTCCCCACTCTCCTATGGAATATGGTTACAGTTACAGGAAACATTGCAGGGCAAACTGGAGGCTTGCAATATTGCAGAGCTAGCAGAAAGCTGCTTGCAGACTCAGAGTGGGGAAAACCAAAATTCCGGACATACAGTAAATCCCAGGAAAATGGCAAAGCTGGGTCCAACAAATGGTATCCAGTAATTATGACTGTTAGAGAGAAAACTAGCAACACTGGATATCTTATTTTAGGACTCACTGCAGAAAACAACACATGGGCTCTGGAGTCAGATTCTTGTCTTACAGTCTGTTTACAGGTGAGCCTCAGTACCAGTGTTGGGGCCAGCTTGGCTATTTTCCTGGGATTTACTGTGTCTGGTATTCACCTTGGTGTCCTCACTCTGAGTCTATTAGCAGCTTTCTGCTAGCTCTGCAAAGTTGCAAGCCTTCAGCTAGCTCTGCAATGTTTCCTATAACTGTGACCACATTCTTTAGGAGGGTGGAGGACAAACTGTAAGTATTTAACTAAGCCCCTGACACAGATCAGGGCTCAGGGCTTTGAGAAATTATCTCCCCTGAGTCTGCTAGCATAATAAACTCTCTGCTTCCTGTAAAAATGGACTTGGTGACTTTGTTTCCCTCGTGGTTTCATGCAAAACCAGTTTGAATAAAATGGACTTTAATGGTAGTCACTACTCCTTACAGGTGTTAGGATCAATATGGCATTTAATAATGGTAGCTGCTATTGGTTGTGTTGCAGGAATGGTACAGAAAGTTTGATAGGGAGAATAAGACTCAAACCCAGGTGGCTGGAGGAAAGGAAGGTTTCTTACACTAGCGGGCCAGCACCTGGGTATCTCCAAAATGGTTCAGGCCTCGAGCTCAGGGTGGTTGAGGTTTTTATACTGAGAAAAGCAGCAGCAAGCAAGCAGGGAGTGCAGAAGCAGACTTGGCAGTTAGCTGTTCAGGGTTACAATATATCATGTCAGCACAGCTATGGACGAAGGCCATCCACAGTTTCTAACAAGATAGCTGGATGCAGGGACCCCAGCTAAGGGGAAGGGCTTTACTTATCTTTGGTTCCTTTCACAGCTTTGATCTTTCTTTGGGTTACCTTATCAGTTGTGTTAGATTGAATCTGATGAAAGTGCCAATATTTGGCTGGGACCTGCATTGTTCACCTAATGGTACTGTTGCAGGAAATGGTGAGGGAAACAAAGTCACTGAGACCACTTTGCAGGAAGCAGGAATTTTATTATGCTAGCTGACTCAGGGGAGATAAGTTCTCAAAGCCCTGAGCCCCGATCAGTGTCAGGAGATGAGTTATATACCCCGCAGGTGGGTTATGTAACCAGGGGGATTTTGCAGTATATGGTTCACAGGTAGTTAGAAAGACAAGTCAGTTACAGAGAAACAAATTGATTACAGAGTTCCCCAATCCGCCTACAAAATGTGGTCACAGTTACAAGAAACCTTGCAGAACCTAGCTGGAGGTCTGTGATACTTTTGAGCTTGCAGAAAGGTGCTTGTAGCCCCCCGAGTAGGGAATTCAAGGTAAAAATATGAGACACAGTAAATCCCAGGAAAATAGCCAACCTGGCCCCAACATTCCCCAATTTGATGCTTTGATATTTCATCAAAATGCATCATCTCTTTCATCCTCAGGGATGAGATTTACTCCTTGGTAGCCTTGCAATAGATGTAATTGTGTGACCGTTTCCCGTTCCACTATGACTTCTATCAGGGTCAATATGGACTGCATGTCAAGTGGCAGCAAGCATGGGAGTATAAAGCAGCCCATCACCATAATTAATATGGCCCCTAATATTGTTTTAAATCTTCCTCTTGTAGAGAACCATGACAAGGGATTTAGCTTTGCAAAAGGAATCTAGAGTAGAAGCAACCAAAAACAATTACCACATCCTGTGAGCAGAAGAGAAAAAGAAAACTATAAGAGAAAGCCTTTTACTAGTGGGGGTGGCCTTCTGTAGAGGATGTCATAGGGCAAGAACCCAGTGTGTTTGGTAGGGCCATACCTGATCCTAAGTAAAGCTAATGACAAGATCTGTTTCCAAGTCAGATGTGTCTCCTGACAGAGTTTACTCAAATGAGTTTCTAGTGTTTGGGTCACAACAGAATGTGGGACCATGACAGTTATCTTCCCTCCCAGTGTTAGCTTTCTGCCTCTGATACCAGCAAGGCTGTGGCACAGGCAGGGAGGCAATCCCTTTGCCACTGAATCAAATTGCTTGGAGAGATAAGCCACCAGCTGATGTTATGAGCTCAGGTGTTGGTTCAGAATTCCAGTTGTCATGCTGCTTTTCTCATGCATGTAGAGGAAGAAAGGCTTTCTCACATCTGGGTGTCCCAGAGCAGGGGCACTGACTTTTGCCTCCTTGATGGCACAAAAAGCCTGTTGTTGTTTAGACTCCCAGATTAGGGGCTCCTGTTCACTCCCCTTTGTGGCTTCATATAAAGGCTTTGCTAGCAATGAGAAATTAGGTATCTAAATCCAGCAGAACCCAGCCACTCTCAAGAACTCACGGATCTGTCTTGTAGTCAGAATTGGGACTGAGCAGAAAGCTTGTTTTCTTTCTGCACCAAGGTTCTGATGGCCTTGGGAGATGTGGAACTCCAAATATTTGACTTGGTCTTGGCAGATCTGAGCCTCGGGATACTTTGTATCCAGCTTCCCAAAAGAGACTAAGAGCTCTGTCCCTTTAAGACAGTCTTGGTGGTTAGCTGCTGCGAGGAGAAGGTCACCCACATATTGTAAGAGAGCGCAGCCAGCTTCTTCTGCTGGGTATGCCCGCAAATCTGATGCCAGGGCAGTTCCAAAGATGGTTGAGCAGTTTTTAAAGCCCTGTGGGAGACAATTCCAGGTTAACTGCTGTTGTCCCCATGACCGGGGGTCCTCAAATTGGAAAGCAAAGATGGATTTGCTCACAGGTGCCAACTGGATGCAGATGAATGCATCTTTTTAAGTGCAAACATGAGAAACAGGCTGCTTCTGCTGGTATCAGGGTCAGCAAAGTGTAGAGTTTGGAACCACCAGGTGCAGAGTCACGGCTGCTTGAGTGACTGCCCAGAGATCTTGCACTGGGCTGTAATCATTGTTTCCTGGCTTCTGAACTGACAGCAAGAGAGTGTTCCAGGCAGATTGACAAGGTCTCAGGATTTCATAGTTTAAGAGTCTCTGGAGGTGATGAGACATCCCTTTTCGTGTCCTCATCAGGATTGGGTATTGTCTCAATTTTACTGAGGTGACTCCTGGCTTTATCTCTATTACCACTGGAGGAATGTTGATGACTGGCCCCAGAGGATTGTCTTCCACCCATAGTCCCAGGACCTCAAAGGGCATCTCTGGCCCCTTTAAGGCAGTCTCCTCTAGATGTAATCTCCATTCTTCTTCCCAGGAAGTGATGAGGGCTAAGACCCTAGGGGGCCCTGAGCCAAAGCTCAAAGCCTTTGTCCATTCTCCTGAAAATTGATTTGGGCCTGCAGCTTACTTAGCAGGTCTCGGACCATCAGTGCCACTGGACATTCTGGTATATAGAGAAACTCATGAGTCACAAGATGTCCTCTCAGTGTACATTTTTTAGGACTAGAGAAATGGGTGGCGGGTCTGGGTCCCTGTAACATCCACAATTGTCTGTTGTCTTTTTGAAATTGGTGCCACCCTTTGAGTCATCACTGAATGTTAGTGCCAGTGTCCACCATGAAATCTACAGGTTGGCCCCCTATTGACATAAGGACCATGGGCTCTTGGGGGCCGAGGAGGGAAGAGCCTGGTTGACCCTAATCATCGGCCCACTCTTTTGTCTCTCTGTGCCTGGGCTGCAGTTGTGGGCACTCATTTCTCCAGTGTCCCTCTTAGCGACAGAATGCACATTGATTCTCCTTTAGGGGCTCTGATCCCTGGGGCCATGCTTGTGGGGCGTTTCCTAAGGGCCCCCCTTTGCCTCTTCCTCGACCTCAACTGGAACTGTGCCCTCCCTGTTTGTTCAGTGCTGCTGCCAGGAGATCTATCTTCATCTTCATT